CTTTGTATGATGAACATTTAAAGGCACATGTTTATTTGATTAAAAAAAATTATAATAAGAGTTGTCGACATAGTCTATAAGCTTTACATAGATCAATGCATGCATGATTGGCTAATGTGACTGGACAGGTATGATATATGTGAAATGCCCTTTCAGCCCATAAATTTAATTTTTTTTTTTGAGAGGGGAGGAGACTTGAACTCTTGACCTTAAGAAAACAAAACTTTCACAAAACAAAGAGTATCATTGGATCAAAGGCCTATTGGTAAATCAGTTAGTTTGAGACATAAATTTAATAACTCCATGGAATTGTTAAATTTATTACTTTAATTTAATTTTTTATTGGTGATTGCCTTCCAATTTATTTGACAATTGGGCCTGGTTGTAGTTAAATTTTTTTTATGTGAAAAGTTACGGTTTAAAAAGTTTTGTAAAAATATCAGAGTTAAAAAAGTTTTCAAATCATTTGGAGTGCTCTTTAAAACGATGAAAAAATATTGGAAATATTTGTTTTGAGTGACTTTCTAACTTTTTAAACTTTTTTGCATCAAAATAAAAAAATAATTACATTATATGTATAAATTATGCATAATAGTTCTAAAGAAATGAATTTTAAATATTTTATGTTACTAATAATATTTTAAGAATATAATAAATTAAAAAGTTATATAGAATCCATGACAAAATTATAAAAAAAATAAAAACAAAACCTCATAAAATCAACTTCTTTAATTAGCCTAAATAAGTCTTTTTAAGTCTAAAAAATTGCTCATAAGTTGGTAACTTATTTTGTTCCAAAACTTTTAAAATTTAAACAGGCTTAATAAAAAAGAAATTCATGAAAAAGAAAATTCTAATTTTATTTTGCAACGAACCATAGCTTTAATTGGAAAGTCAAGGGATGATCAAGAGGCAGAAGGAATCGAGAGGTCAATTCATCTTTTTCATTACTTGTGAATGAGAAAACCTTAGTTCTTCCTCCCATAAAGTCCGGATGGAGTGGTTGATGAAGGGGAAGAAGTCCGGCCTTAGAGTGTGAATGAGAGGCAGATGGGTATTTAATTACTACTCACTTAATCAATCACTGTCACGTGATAAACGTTACTTATGATCCATTTATTAACCATACCATTTTTCTTCTATTATCCCAAATATTGATGATTGTTGAATGAATCTATTTGAGACTGTTGGATAAACTTAATAAAACTCGTCATGTTTTATATTTTATTTTTTAAATTCTCCCTTCTCTCTCCCAAAAAAAAAAAACACACAGACGCACTCTGTATAATTTTGCAGCATTTTTTTTTATTGTACCAATAACAACAGATATTCATGCATTGATTGAACTCGTTTTCATTTTGTGTGGTCTTGTTTTATTGGGTTTGTTATTTTCATGCATGCACAAGTTTCATCGGATACAAAAAGTACGAGGTTCCACCAAATTTCACGAAGGAAAATGTGGATAAGAGCAACGAAGATGATTTTATTTTTGTTGTACGAATTACATTTTTATGGATGTCATAGTTTTGGGGCGATTAATTTTAAAATATTTATTTTTAGAGATGTTTAATTTTTTTTTTTTGTAGTTAGATTTTGACATTAGATAAATACTTTATTGACAGTTGGCTAAATTTTTTACTTTCATTAAAGTTAAATCTAAAAACATTTTTATTTCGGGTTGTTGTTTTAGATCAATTCTCTAAAATATCGTTTCTTATCTTAATTTAATTTCCAACTGTTAAAATAGATAAAGAGTGTTTCTTGAGGAGTTTTTAGTACATTATTACTTCCAAAAATATTCCTCTTTTTGTGTGTTTACACCTCGATTGAGTAATCTTCTTTTTACGAGAATCTCACTTTCTCCCTTTAACGATTTGAAAATTTTAAATTTATGCACATAAAAATTAAAATTTTCACATTTCACTCTTAAAATATTAAAAATATTATAATATAATCTTTCTATTAACTTTAGTTATTTACTTTTGTTGAATGTCACCCCATTCATATTGACAAAATAAGTAACAGAAGCTAACAAAAATGTTACATTTTAACATTTTTAATACAATTATGGTATAATAAAAAATTTTAAATCTTTAAAAGTATAAATTGAAAATTATTCAATCTTTTGAGGTACAAAGTGTAATTCAGTATTTGAGATATTTGTCTTCTAGTATTGAATTCTTGGTGCCCGTCGTGGTATGGGCCCAGCAGACGTCATTCTCTGACATCGGCAACTCATTCCCCACAACTTGAATTATGTACCACGTGATTGAAAAACCCAACTCCAAGTTGCCCACTAGTCCACTAAGAAATTTCAACGAAGCCCCAAATATTATTTTAAATTACTTAAATAAATTTCAACACTGACCCACACCACCTCAGGTGCATGAATCCCTCTCCCTCGCCCTCTCCCTCTCATCCACTATAAAACCCCTCACAACCCTTCTTCCCAAAAATTCAGTTCTCTTCTCTCTATCCCTCTCTCGTCGTACCCTCAAATCTTTCAGAATAACAAAACTCAAATTCAACCTCCAAACCCCTGAATTAGCTAAGCATGTATGAACTGGAATCAACGCTGGTGAGTTTGCCGGCAATTCACGCCGGTAGCTTCCCGATATATCACCGAAGCTCAAGTTTCAGTAGTTTGATGCCATGCTTGACAGATACATGGGGAGATTTGCCTTTAAAAGTTGACGATTCTGAAGATATGGTTGTATATGACTTGTTACGTGACGCCGTTAGTGTTGGATGGACGCCGTTTAACTTCACTGCCGAGGTTAAACCCGAACCGCGGGAAGAAATGGAGCCAGCTTTGATTACAGAAGCGGCCACGAGTCAAGTGGTGGCGCAGCCGTTGACGGAGGCTCCAGCTGCGGCGCCGTCGAAGGGGAGGCATTATAGGGGCGTGAGGCAACGGCCGTGGGGGAAGTTCGCGGCGGAGATAAGAGACCCGGCTAAGAACGGAGCAAGGGTTTGGCTTGGGACTTACGAGACGGCTGAAGAAGCCGCGCTGGCTTATGATAGAGCCGCTTATAGGATGCGTGGCTCGAAGGCGCTTTTGAATTTTCCGCACCGTGTTGGTTCTAATGAGCCGGAGCCGGTGAGAGTAACGGCAAAAAGGAAATCACCGGAGCCGGCTTTATCGAGTTCGTCGGCTTCGGAAAGTAGCTCACCGAAGAGGAGGAGGAAGAAAGTAGTTGCGGCTGAGAAAGCCGAGCTAGAAGCTGAGAGCCGATAGAATGGGTTTCAAGTTGGGTGTGAGATGATGAGACAATCGCCAGTTGGCGAGCAGTTATTGGTGAATTAGATTTGAGCTGTGTAGTGTGAGCCTTGGGGTGTGTTTGGTTGTGTATAGAAAAACTACATTTGTTTATCACTTTAATACTACTATGGTGACATTTGCTAATGCAACCACCCAATTTTGTGATGTGTACACTTGAGACAAGCCAATGCGGGACTACTGTCCAATAACATATCAAAAGAAAAATTTAAAACTTATAAGATAGTTCAAGTACTAATAAAGATGCATTAGAAATTTAAATGTCTTCAATTTTAAATTTTAACAAAAATATCTTAATCCTGACGCGTAAGTTAATTCTTACGCTTCTGACCATTAAACGAAAAAAAGTACAATTCAATCAGACAAAAGTTACAAGTGATTAACGTTTAAAAACATTTAAAAAATAAGTTTGTAGTCGATTGTTCTCAAATATATAAAACATTTGGGGCACATTTGGAAATTAAGTAGGATAAAAATGTCGGCAATGAATACTGTGGTCAAAAAAGACAAATATTAATTATACATTGCGGCAAAAAGGGGAGACCATTTCAACCATCCGATTCCAAGTTCTTGTACTGCTACTTTTGTTGACGAGAGGAAAATATTATTTGGACTTATAAATTTGATGTAATTTATTGATCTAATAATATAATTTTATTAGAATTATTAGATTAATATTAAATTTTAATATTTAATGGAGTCCATAATTAATTCATAGGTCATAGTGAATTAGGCCAACAAATTAGATCAATAAATTAAGTTACAATAACATTGCTCGTTCACGAAATAGTGGCCAATTTTTCCCTTTTTTGACATTAGGCATTTTCTTAAATAAGGAGGACACTCGCTGTATTTACCAACAAATATATGTATAATTTCATTCACATTTTGAAAATATCCATTATTATTCTCCCACAGGGAAAAGGACTGTGGAAGGGTATATTGGTATTTTACTTTTAGTTGGGATATTGGTGAAGCATTGAGAAAATTCTTGCATGTCAATGGCAATATTCAACATAACGGTTTGCAAAAAATATCCTTTACCCAAGAAGGTCACACAAACAAAGATAATCATTAAAAAAATATATCCTTTACAATAAGGTGATAGAAGAGCAGTTATTTATTTATTTATTTGATCAAATAAAAGGGAAGAGAAAGGGAAGGGTGATTAGTAGGTAATTATCCTCTTGGGTGTGATCTTGAGGATCTCTCAACTATAAAATATTCAGTTTGAATCATAGTTATTAATCTAGAAGGACAGTCCGTCATCACAATACCACAAAAGTCAAGCAATAAACCATATTATTCCCATGAATCAAACTTTACTTGAGAACCATATGGACTTCATAAATGACATTAAACAAATACGACTTACCACTAGACTACCTGCTTAGTTGGTGATAGGAGACTAGTTAAAGGTCGTCTACCTACATTTGAAACCAAACATATACTTTAAGGGAGAAAAGGTATAATTGATAGCACAACACAATAGGGTTGGCTTGATCTTTATATATTGAAAAAGATTACAAGATGACACATTTACAATGTGCTAATAACAGCTAATAACTAATATGACAACAGCTAATGACAACTTAGTATATGACAACTAATGACAGCTAATATATATCTTAACATGCTCCCTCAAGCGAATAGGGTTTTTGGAGCCCCAATAACTTGTTACGAAAACCACAGAAGCTTGATGATGATAAGCCCTTAGTGAATATATCGGCTATCTGATTGGTCGATCGAACAAATGCCACACGGAGGAAATTCTGTGACACAAGCTCACGTACAAAATGATAGGACAATTCAATGTGCTTAGTGCGAGCATGAAAAATAGGATTTACGGTCAGCTGAGTGGCTCCCATGTTATCCAAGTGAAGTACACATGGGACATCAAGTGGCACACCAATATCATTCAATAAATAGGAAATCCAAAGCAAATCCATGGCAACATGAGTAGGCGCCTTATACTCTGCTTCAGTACTGGACAAAGCGACAGTGGCTTGCTTCTTTGCACTCCAAGAAACCAAACTAGAATCAAAGTAAACGCAATGACCCATATTGGAGCATCGGGTATCTGGACAACATGCCTAGTCAGCATCAACAAAGCTTTGCAACAGGGCAGAGCTATTTGAGGATAATCGAAGATCAAGCCCAATAGTGCCTTTGAAATAACGTAAGATTCTCTTGACAGCTTGAAAGTGAGTATCTCGTGGGTCATGCATAAATTGGCAGACCTGTTAGAACCGAATACAAGATTTTAGGCCTAATAAATGTGAGATATTGTAGAGCACCAACAAGTCGCCGATACTCATGAGGATTAGACAAAGGTACACCGTCATAAAGAGACAACTTTCAACTAGAAACAATCGGAGTGGGAACCGATTTTGCATCTAGCTTTCTGGCGCTCTTCAATAATCCAAGAATATACTTGGATTGAGTAAACTGTAACGAATTATGATCTCTGACAACCTCTCTACTAAGGAAGTAATGCAAATTACCAAGATCTTTCATCAAAAAATGAGAAGAGAGTTGATTAATAACAAATGCCAGGAGATGAGAATTCGAACCAGTGAGAATAATATCATCCACATAGATTAACACAATAATAATGTCGGCTGAAGGGCATTGAATAAAGAGTGAATTATCTGCTTGGCTGCCATGAAAACCAAGAGCACGAAGAGCAGAACTAAAACTCTGAAACCAAGCTCGTGGTGCCTGACGAAGACCATAAATAGCTTATTTAAGCTTGCAAACATGAGGTGGAGATGATGGATTGACAAAGCCAGGTGGTTGAGACATATAGACTTCCTCCATAAGAGTACCATGCAAGAATGCATTTTTAACGTCAAGCTGACAAATAGACCATTGTTTAGATAGAGCAAGAGAGAAAACAATGTGAATAGTAGTGGCTTTGGCAACAAGGCTGAATGTAGGCTTTGGCACTGGACAAGTTCCAAAACACGAGACAAAACACGATTAGATAACCCAAAAGGTAGGCGTTTATGTTTGCCAGCTTGGCAAGCGTCACAAAATACAGTACGAAAAGTATCATCTGAACCACAAATAGATTTATTCGAACATAATCTAGAAATTATTTTTGGAGATTGTGCGTGCACGTTCTTACACAATATAAACACAAGAACAGATTTCTTCTGTGGTGAACACGAGTCCGTCGATCGAGTGGTCAATCTTGCTACTTGAAATAGGTTGTGAGGGTCGAAGATGACCTATGAAGTGATGATGGATTGTTGTTAGAGTATGTGTGGCTCATATTTGCTGTGTGCATAATGGCAAGGAGGCAAATGCCGGAGCGGGATTTAAATAAAGGGGACGCTGATTAGTTGGGGGGGCGGGGGCAGCCCCCGCGGTACGGTACAGGGGTATTTTTGTAAATACGTCCATATTAGGGTTATATAAATACTTAAGATGTAACCCTATTCTATAATGGAAAAGAACGGCCGCTCGCTCTCGTGGATGTAGGCACATTGCCGAACCACGTAAATCTCTGTGTGTTATTTTCTCCTGCTTTCTTAATTGTTTGATTCCTTACTATTCACCATAATTGCTGGACGATCACAACAATTGGTATCAGAGCTAGACTACGATGTCTGGGATTTCCTCTACAAAATTCGACATCATGAAGTTCGACGGAACTGGGAATTTCGGATTATGGCAGAGGAGGGTGAAGGACCTGTTAGTGCAGCAGGGCATGGTGAAGGCATTATACGGAAAACAACCGGTAGGAATGAACGACATGGATTGGAAAGAATTGGAAGCGAAGGCTGTGGCGACTATTAGGCTTTGTCTGGCTGATGAAGTGATGTATCACGTCATGGATGAGGAATCACCGGCGGAAGTTTGGTTGAAACTGGAAAGTCGGTATATGTCCAAGTCGTTGACGAACAAGCTCTATCTTAAGCAGAAATTATATGGTCTTAAGATGTCAGAGGGCTCGGATTTGACCCAACACATCAACGTGTTCAATCAGATCATCAGCGATCTGAAGCGAGTTGATGTGAAGTTCGAAGACGAAGACAAGGCGCTGATGTTGCTGAATTCCTTACCGGCGTCTCCTACGTACGAGAATTTGGTTACGACTCTGATGTGGGGGAAAGAAACCCTCGAATTGGAGGATGTCATAGGTGCTCTGTTAGGTTTTCATCAGCGGAAGAAGCCAGTGATGAGGCTTCACAAGGTGAAGGGCTTGTGGTGAAGGTAACCAGGAACGTGGAAGAAGCAAATCTCGGAATGGATCGGGTAACAATAAAGCCCGGTCCAAGTCGAGGAAGAAGAAGAAGGACGTCTCTGTCTCGTGTTACAAGTGCGGGAAAAAAGGGCACTTTAAACGGGACTGTCCAGAGAAAAAGAAAGGGGATTCAGAGAACAAAGAGGGTGCATCAAAGTCTGCAAACGTAGTGGAAGAAGAAGATTCAGAGAGTGGTGACGGAGATATGCTTTCTGTTTTATCTAGTTCAGATCGTTTAACAGATTCTTGGATTATGGATTCAGCATGTTCCTATCACATGACACCCAACAAAGATTGGTTTGACACCTACAGGTCAGTAAATTCTGGTTCTGTTCTGATGGGTAATGATGCATCTTGCAAAGTTGTTGGAATAGGAAATATTAGAATTAAGATGTTTGATGGTATGGTTAGAACGTTGTGTGATGTTAGACATGTACCGGATCTAAGGAAGAATTTGATTTCATTGGGCACTTTGGATTGTAATGTTATAGTTACAAATCTATAAGTGGAGTAATGAAAGTAAGTAAAGGCATGCTGACAGTGATGAAGGGACAGAAAGTAGTAGGAAACATTTACAGACTGCTGGGTACTACAATTGTAGGTGGAGTTGCTGTTGTAGAGTCTGAATCAGATAATACAGCCTTGTGGCATATGCGGCTGGGTCATATGAGTGAGCGTGGGATGATAGAGCTTCATAAGAAAAATC